CACTGGATTCCCCCACCCCCAGGGTCAGGGCACACTGGATTCCCCCACCCCCAGGGTCAGGGCACACTGGATTCCCCTACCCCCAGGGTCAGGGCGCCTGGACCCCCCACCCTCAGGGTCAGGGCACACTGGATTCCCCCACCCCCAAGGTCAGGGTGCCTGGACCCCCCCACCCTCAGGGTCAGGGCACCTGGATTCACCCCACCTTCAAGGTCAGGGCACACTGGATTCCCCCCACCCCCAGCGTCAGGGCGCCTGGACCCCCCCACCCTCAGGGACCTCCAGGTGCCCCAGACTCACCCCACCTTCAGTGTCAGGGTGCCTGGACTCATCCCACCTTCAGGGTCCAGATGCCCCAGACTCACCCCACCTTCAGGGTCAGGGTGCCTCGATTCCACCCGCCCTCAGGGTCAGGATGCCTGGACTCACCCCACCCTCAGGGTCCGGGTGCCCTGGACTCACCCCACCCTCAGGGTCCGGGTGCCCCGGAGTCACCCCACCTTCAGGATCAGGGTACCTGGACTCACCCCACCATCAGGTGGATGGCACCCAGGAATGCCTGGTTCCCCCTACTGCATTGCATGGGGTCTCCTTAGTTAGGGGGTCCTGGGCCCAGGGCAGGTCAGGTCCTGGGAGGCTGGGTGCTGGTCACCCTGCATGGCCTGGATGGGAGCCCTGTGGTTGGAACTGAGCTCAGCCAGGCTTCCTGGTCAGTGTATGGCCGGGTCCACATATAGGAGCCACAGCCTAGAGAGGCCTAAACCCTCACCCAAGCCAGAGGCCACATGGCTGGAGAGGCTGCAGCACGGGTGCGGTTTCCATGGGAGGCTCCAGGGATGTCTCTGGTCAGCAGGGTGTGCCGGGCCCGAGGGAGCAGCCTGGACAGCCTGAGGACAGCCCCGAGGCTGAGGCCTCCACCCTGGACGTGTTCACAGAGAGGCTGCCGCCCAGCGGGCGGATAACCAAGACAGAGTCCCTTGTCATCCCCTCCACCAGGTGATGGGGGCTGGGCGGCTGGGCAGGTTGGCGATGCAGCTCTTAGGGGAGGGGCCATCAGGGGCATGAGTCGGGGTGGGTGCCTGTCAGACCAGCCTGATGAGTTCCCTCGGTTGTAGACAGCAGACTCAGGGCCTCGTCCCTCTTCTTAAAAAGGAGAAGCAAACCCCCTGCCCCAGCACTGGGTATCAAGCCTGCAGCCCCACATTCCGCCCTGTGTGTTTGAGGGCAGGGCCAGGCGTGTCTGCCCTTCTGCAGCTGCCCCCACAGCCCCCTGAGTAGCCCCTGCCTCAGCCAAAACACACACATCCACCAGTTTGATTCTTCCAGAATATCAATTTCATGTTTCTGTGATATTTGGGATTTTTTCCAAAGCAGTGAGTCTGGGCACTGACTTTCACCTTACGGCGGCACCGAGGTGCCTGTGTCCATGCTCTGGAGCCAGGTCGCCCTGGCAGCCTCAGCGCCCTGCACTGGCCTATACCTGGCTCTGCCCAGCTCCTGGCCCGGGCAGGGAGGGTGAGCTCAGTCCTCACAGTGGCTCCAAGGCTCCTGGCCTGGCTTGCAGTCTCACAGGCAGAGCTGCGTGGGGTCCCACTGGGGGCACGGCCTCTCTTGTACTCAGCTGCTGCTACGGTCCTCCCAGGGCTGGTGGCCTCTCTGTGTGGCCTGTGTTCCCACTGCCCATCAGTCGGCCCTGTGCTCACCCTTCCCTGTCCCCACCACAATGTGTAGGCCACTGCAAGCCTGCCCCTGCCCCTGCCCCTGTTCCTGCTGCTGCAGCCACTTAGCCTGTCCTGGTCTCCAATAGGTCCGAGGGGAAGCAGGCTGGCCGACGGGGCCGGAGCACGTCCCTGAAAGAACGGCAGGCAGCGAGGCCCCAGAATGAGCGGGCCAACAGTCTGGACAACGAGCGCTGCCCGGATGCCCGGAGCCAGCTACAGGTGCAGGTGCAGGTGGGGGTGGAGGGCGTAGCATGACCAGGAGGCAGGGCTCGTGGTCACCCTGGCACCAACCAGAGCAGGGCAAAAAGAGAAGTGCAGGGGGCCAAGGTTGCTGGGAGCATGCAGAGCATGCCTGGGCTTTGGAGGGTGCCTGCTGCACAGCAGGGCGGCTGGGTCATGGGTTGGTTTGTCAGGAAGGCCATGTGGACCCCAGGGCGAGTTCTGGTCCTTCTGCTGCCCTCCCTGGTCCAGGGCGGCCTCATTGCTTGGCTGATTTAGCCCAGGGGTGGTCTCCAAGCTGACCAGCTCTCTTCCTGCCACTGAGCCTCTGTGCACAGCTGCAGGGGGAGCAGGGGCACTGCAGACACCAGGGCTGGGGCGGTGGGGATGGGCGCTGTGCTTCTCTTCTGGGTGTGGACAGGGCTGTGTGCCTCCAGATCCCCAGGAAGACTGTGTATGACCAGCTCAACCACATCCTCATCTCCGATGACCAACTTCCCGAAAACATCATCCTCGTCAACACCTCGGACTGGCAGGGGCAGGTAGAGGTGCAGCCTCGTGGAGTGGAGGGTCAGGGTGTAGGACAGAGGAGAGTGGGCTCCTGAACCTGCCCCCAACCTGGCACACCCAGGTGCTGGAGCTGCAGGCTGTGGTTTGCCTGGACGTGCCTGGGGTCTCTGGAGACCCTGAGAGCTTTGGTGAGGGTCAGGTGCTGGGGGTGGCCCAGGCGGCTGTGCTGAAGTCAGCGTCTGCCTGTCCTCTGCCAGTTCCTCTCCGACGTCCTGCAGAGGCACACGCTCCCCGTGGTGTGCACATGCTCTCCCGCAGACGTCCAGGCAGCCTTCAGCACCATCGTCTCACGGATACAGAGATAGTGAGTTGGGCTCCACCCTGTACTCACCGCCCAAGTACCCCTCGGGGTCCCTGCACCCCACCTCTACCCATTGCTCTGGGGCTGGGCGCGTTCTGCACCTGGGGCTCTGGCTGGTGTCCACAGAGGCTGACCCATGGGCTCCTTGCAGCCTGGCCTGCCCTCAGTTGTGGGCGGGAGCAGCAGCCTGGCAGGTGTCCTGCCACACTGGAGGGGTGGCCACCTGGCCCGTCCTTGGAAGCCTGGGCCGAGGTCATGACTGTGTGGCCCCTCAGCCTGGGCACATTCGGGCATGTAGGGGTCCTGGGTTTGGGCAGCTCCAGGGCAGTTGTGGCATGAGCGGCCACAGGCACAGAGCCCCCTGGGCTCACACTGGCATCCTTGGACGGAGGACGGCTCCCCTGAGGCGTCTGTCCCCTCTCCGTCCCACCTGCCTCTGGATTGCAGCTGCAACTGCAATTCCCAGCCCCCGACCCCCGTGAAGATCGCCGTGGCGGGAGCGCAGCATTACCTCAGCGCCATCCTGCGGCTCTTCGTGGAGCAGCTATCCCACAAGACGCCCGACTGGCTCGGCTACATGCGCTTCCTGGTCATCCCGCTGGGTGAGCACCGCGCCGTCCACCTGGGCCTGGGCACAGACGCCATGGGCGGTGTGGCGTGGCGTGGTGTGGCGTGGTGTGGTGTGGCGTGACGTGGTGTGGTGTGTGGTGTGGTGTGACGTGGTGTGGTGTGTGGTGTGGTGTGACGTGGCGTGGTGTGATGTGGCGTGGTGTGGCGTGGTGTGGCGTGGTGTGGTGTGACGTGGTGTGGGGTCCCAGCTTGCCGCCCATTTGTTGTTTTTAAATGTTTGTTTGATACAGTAACACTTTGTTAATTTTAATTATATGCAGGATAACTTGATTGCCCTAAAACAGCCATATTTGGGTCAAGATAAAGCCATTGCCCTCTGAAGGGGCCTGAGCTGGGTGTCCCCTCCGTCAGTCGCTGTGATAACTCAATGCCAGTTTCGATTTCCCAAGTCAGAAGTGCAAAGCAGGGCTGGTTATTAATCCTCTCAAATCATCCAGGTCCTGTGTCGTCGAAATCTGTTACTTCTTTAGATCCAAACAATGTGTCTTTACCACAAAACCAACCCATCCAGCCTTAATCTGTTGAAAAGGCCCAGAGGTCCACAGGGTCTCTCCCTTGTGGCCCTCACGATGCCAACGTCAGAGCCCTGAGCCAGCCGAGGCCTCTGCACGGTCATATGTGCCCTGCTGGGCCTTCGTCAGTGGCACTCAGGGCTCTAGGACCTCAGCTCAGGGCTGGGCCTCCTTCAGCGGGGCCTCAGGCGCCCACCAGGGAGGGGCAGTGGTGGCTCTCTCTGTCGGTGGCAGGAAAGTAGGCTTGTCTGGAAGGCAGCAGCACAGGCACGGGGTCAGGTGGCCCAGCTTTTGGGCTGCGGTGGGAGCCTTGCAGCTTCAAGTCCCCCGTGGTGACACCAGCCCCACCCCTGGCATGCAGGCTCCCACCCCGTGGCCAGGTACCTAGGCTCTGTGGACTACCGCTACAACAACTTCTTCCAGGACCTGGCCTGGAGAGACCTGTTCAACAAGCTGGAGGCCCAGAGTGCGGGTGAGGCCCGGGCACGTCCACAGCCCACGCCACTGCGGGAGGAAGGGGCCCTGGTCTCCCCAGATGCCATGCCCAGGAGGCCCTGCACCTGCTCAGGCTCAGCGTCAGGGAAGAGGCCATGGACAGGGCCCGCTGGGGCCTTGGCTAGGACGCCTCCTATTCCCCTGAGCTTCGGAATGTTGGAAGCTGTGGGGCCTGTCTGGGAAGCGGCAGGCACAGCCCTTCAGGTCTTCCCGCATTTGCCCTGGTACCGCCTTGAGAGTAGAGGACCAGGGCCCCTCAGCCACAGCCAGCAAGCCCTGCTGCACTTCGGGGTGTGGGAGGCTTGGGTAGGGCACCGGGGAGGCCCGGCTCAGCCCCGCCTGAAACCCCACCTGGCGCCAGCCTCATCCCCCACCACCTCCTCCCCCTGCAGTACAGGACACGCCGGACATTGTGTCGCGCATCACCCAGTACATCGCAGGGGCCAACTGTGCCCACCAGCTCCCCATCGCAGAGGCCATGCTGACCTACAAGCAGAAGAGGTAACACGGTGGGCCCGGGTACCATGCCACAGGCTGTTACCAGCCACCAACCCTCCGCGGGCCTCCCCACACACTGCTGGGCTCAGCCTGGTAGGCCGAAAGACCCTGCACCGGGCTTAGACCAGAGCCTAGGTCAGCCGGGCACCTCCAGGCCTTCCTGACAGCAGGCGCTTCCCCCCACCCCAGATCTCTCATAGTAAGCGCCGTTTCCACACCTGTTTCTGTGCATGTTGAAACCCCACGTGATGAGAAGTTGACAGGATGGACAGCTGTCATGGGGCTAGGGTGGCAGTGGCCCAGCTCCTCTAGTCTGGGCACCTGTTCCTTCCACAGACTGGGTTTCCCGGGCTGGGGAACCGAGGAGTCCCTGGGCCTCAGGCCCCGTGGGTGAGTGATCAGCCTGTGTCCTCACCTGCCCAGAGCAGGACAGTGCTCAGGAGCCCCGGGCTGAAAGCCCTGCACAGACCTGTCTGTCCCACCCGGCGCCTCCTCCCTGCACGTCCGGCGCCAGCTGTCCCACACTTCCCTAGACTATGGGGGAGAGAGCTGAGTGCAAGGCGCAGAGCCGGCGCTCACGGGCTCTCCCACACAGGAACCCCAGCGAGGTGGGAGCCACTGAGTGCCCTCGGCAGTCCCCGGAGGGCTCCTGAGGGCATCGTAACGTGTCTGTGTTTTCTCTTTTGGTGGCTTTCTGAAAAGGAAAAAGCATTTTCATTTTGACTTTACCTTAAGGTATGGCTCTCTGGGTCTGCCTCCCACCCTGTCTGTCCCCAGGCTGGTCTTTAGGGCTTGTTTAGCAGCGTCACCATCTGGATCACCCTGCTGTCCTGTCTCCGGACTGGGAGTCAGGCCCTGAGGGCCACCAGCTGCAGGCTGAGAGCCCGCGTGGGGGAGGGCAGGTGGCCCCAACCGGAGTCACTTGGTGCTGACGTGCACCCTTTTCCGCCATCCAGTCTCTCACACTGAGTCAGGAAAGCAGCAGATGCGCCCTCCTGTCGCCGGGCCAGGCCCGTGTGCTGGGACTCCACCCCAGAGCCCTGAAGCCTGCAGATCAGCCAGGCAGGCCTTGCCTCCCCTCTGGTTTGGCCCTGGGTTTTGGTTTAAGACGTGGCCAGGTTTAGCCCCTCCTCATTTTAAACCAGGAGCGAGTGGCTGATGTAAACACCAGGGCCACCTGGGCCAGGCTGTGCCCCAGGCCCTTCATGTTTGTTAACCTGGCAGCAGCCTAGCAGGGGCACTGGTGCACGCCCTACACATGGGGACGCTGAGGCAAGTAGATAAGGAGCAGGCCCGGTGACACGGCAGTCAGCGGCTGTGCCCTGGGCTGCCTACACGCTGCAGAGCCTGGCTCCCAGGGCTCCCTTGAGCACCCGGGGCCAGCAGAGAGGGCTTAGCAGCATCTTGTGGCTCACCTGGAGATGGAGCCAAACTACTGAGACCTCCAAATGGGGGTGAAGAGCTTTTGTTCTGAGGCAGCTTCACCCCCTAAAACCTTCCATGTTAGAGCCAAGTTCCAGGCACCCCCCGAGCTGCCCTTTCAGACAGAGCCATCCCTTTTCCTTGGCCAGGTGTGTCCTGCTGCAGGGTGGAGGACCCTGCCGGTCCTCCCATGGGGCTCGTTCTCCGCTCCGTGTCTTCTGCCCTGTGTGAGGTCATTTGCTGTCCTAGGAAACCCACCCCCACCCCCCACCACAGTGCAGGGTAGTTGGGTCCCTGGGGCCCCCTTGCTGGAAATACTGCAGGCCTAGGAGCTGCTCGAAGTGGACAGCCTGGGACCACCCACAGCTGCAGGGCTGGGCGCTAGGAAGATACAGGAAGGGGGCTGAGCATCCTACGTCTTGTCCTGCTAAACAAGCCTTTGCAGGTGAAAGACCAGCCATGGGGGCCTCTCCCCTGCTGACCCCCGGCGGCCTGCGCCCTTGCCCCCGGCTGTGGCACGAAGAGCCTGCAGCATGCTCTGGCTGCCCGGGCTGCCTCAGGCTGTGGATGCAGCTTCTTGTCTCTCCCAGGTCAGCTCTTCTGAGCAGCAAGCCAGGGCCTTAGGAGACCCTAACACCCACTCCCACCCTGCTCCTGCCCCTGCCTCCGCGTTACAGGGGTGACACTGGCTGCCTCCGCGTTACAGGGGTGACACTGGCTGCCTCCGCGTTACAGGGGTGACACTGGCTGCCTCCGCGTTACAGGGGTGACACTGGCTGCCTGGGGCCCTGGAAGGAACCCAGCGAAGGCCATGAGTGTCTTACCTGCTGTCTCTACCCAGAGGAGGGTCAGTCGGGAGACTGACAGAGGGCAGGTGGCAGGTGGTGGCACAGCCCTTGTGGCGGGGGACCTGTGCAGAGTCCTCTCCAGCCAGGCTCCCCTGCGAGAGTCCCTTGTGAGATGACCCCTGCTGGCCTGCCCTCCTCTGCCCAGAATGGCATTCCTTCTATGAGGGCAGGCCAGGCCTGGAGGGTGGCCACAAGCCCCAGCCTGCCCGTGCAGCACGCATGGGTGAAAAGGGCTGCTCAGGCATCCGGCAGCTTGCCAAGAGCCATGCAGAGTGGCCCCCAGGGCATCTGCACCCTCCGTGCCTGCGGGGCCTCCCCACGCCGCGGTGGTGTGCTCCTTACGCTCCTGACCACTCTGCCTCCATGGACATGTGTGTGCCTCCAGGGTCAGGGTGAGGGTCTCAGTGTCCAGCTGGTGTCATCCCTGTCATATCAGCCCATGTCCAGGGCTGGGTGCTGTCTGCATGGCCCAGAGGTGCAGCTTGGCTTTGGGAGTTCCAGCAACATCCCTGTGTTGTAATGTCTCCTGCATTCGGCCCTCATGTGCCACACACTGCCCCATGGACCTCAGAGCAGAGCATGGATGGGAGACCACCCTGCCATGGCTGGCTCGGTGGGGGGTCTGGCTCGGCAGAGGGCAGGTGGCCCCGGGAATTGGAGCTACCTGTGCCCTGGGGACCAGCAGCCGCCACCTGCCTTCTGTGCCTTTTCACGTGCCTGGGAGGACACAGATGTCACTGAGATTTCCAAACACCGGTCTGCTCAACGAGGATAGAGGGATGTCAAGGGCCACGCCCAGGCACTCCTGCTTGACAGCTGTGGACAGAGCCAGGGTGCTGGGGGGCCAAGAGGTCGCCCTGCGCCGTCCTGAGGCAGAGGCGGGCCTGAACACTGGATGTGCATCGCTTTATGTTATTTGAACTGGACAAGAAGAGGGGAAAGTTTATCTTTCAACTCTCTTTTCCTTAGAAATGGAACTAGGCCTGGGGCATCTTTAATGGGATGGACGAAATCTGTAGGTGGCTTCATCCAGATGCATTTGCCAGGCCTTCTGCAGAGGGCGGGCCAGGAGCTATCCAGGTTGGCGTCCAGGGAGGGTGGGTCTTGCCAGCCGCCATCTCCTCACACTGGCGCTGCGAAGACAGGGACGGCACCTGCTGGGACCAGCCGTGGGGGCTGCCTCCTGGGAGTGTCCTCTGGACCAGCCCCCGGGCAGGGGCTGTTCTGCTCGTGGGCACACTTGGTGTGGAGCACTGGGATCAAGCCTCTGCCCTGCAGGGCTCTTGGGGAGATAGTGCTGCTGGTCCTGGGAGCTGGTGCTCCAGACAGACGGCCGGGCTGGGCCTGTGGCATCCTCCCCTGGGCCTCTTTCCTGCAAGGGATTCTCCCTGTGCTGGACAACAACCCAAGGGAGGGCTGGGGCCCCTGGGCGAGCCCATGTCCTGCACCTGGTGCGGGGCTGTCCCTGAGGGGCACCCTGCTGGCCTGGCCATTCTTGTCCTGCCCCCAGTGCTCCAGGGGCAACAGGTGCTCCTCTGCAATGTGTGCGCACAGTCTCCACCTGTAAGACAGCCACTTGCTGGTATCAGACTCTGCAGTTTGGGGAAATGGGACAGAAGAGACAGCTGGGAGAACTGCCCAGAGAGACGGCACCAGTTGCTGATGTGGTCTGGCTGAGGAAGCCGGGCGGGGAGGCACCCTTGTCCCTAAGTGCAGGCCACAGGGAGCCTTGAGGCCAGCAGAGAGAAGGAAAGAGGGGAACCAGACCCATTCCATCACTCAGGATAGGCCTGCCCTCTGGATCTTTCCTGGGGCCCAGAAGGAGATGCCCCACCTCACCCTAGCTGCCGGCAGGGCCTCATGCTGTGCTGGCCCCTTGTCTTGTGGGAGAGCTTCCTGGGCCCGAGCCCAGGTTGCAGTGGCCACGGTCAGCAGGAGCCTGCGCGAGCCAGACCACAGGACAGCCCTGCTTGAGCCGCACACATCGGAGGGGCAGACAGACGGGTCCTCTCAGCAGCCCTACAGCTCCTTTACTCACACCCTTGGCATCTTCACGTGGACGGGCTGTGACCAGACCTCTAGAAGAGGCTGCTGTTATCTGCCAAATGTTGTATGGGGCCAAGTCCAGACAAAACCTCCACTGCCCACCGAGCACATCATCTCACGTGGGTCATGGCCTGGGGCGTGCTGGGCCTGCCTGCAGGCTGTGCTTGGGGTGTTCTGGTACAGTGGCCTCTCGTGGGCACGGACATTACCCAGATGGTCTGGAGAAAACCTCTCTGCCCTGGCTTTGGTGCTGCTGATTACCAGAGAGGGTCCAGGCTCCTCCTGGGAGTCCTAGGGCACCAGTAGCTGCCCTTATCCCAGCGGAGCAGGGGTGCCCAGCTTGGTGGAGCAGCGGAAATGTAGGCTGGACGGGGCTGAGCTGGCTGCGTGGGCGTTGGGCACCTAGGATAGCTGAGTGAATCCCTCCATGGAGCTCTGCCTTCTGGCCTGTCCTGACCATGGGTGCACAGAGACCCCTTTGTCCTTCTTGCATGTCAGCATGTCAGAAGGGGCCCAAACTTTGGTCCTGGGGGTCAGGCCAGGGCTGGCAGTGGTTTGGGATGGGTGGGGCTGGGACACACTGGGCAGGGCCGACTGGGGCAGGGTCGTGGCCCTGGGGCTGCGCCAGGTTCTCAGGCCAAGAGGGAGCTGTGCCCAACAGGCGGGGCTGTGCCCTGAGGAGAGCTTAACTGTCTGTTTCCTTGCTCTTAGCCCTGACGAAGAGTCCTCCCAAAAGTTCATTCCCTTTGTCGGGGTGAGTACTGGCCAGCTTGATGTGATGGGAAACCACATACCCGCCAACTTGTCTTTTATAGTCAGAACATTTGAGGATGGACTTCATATATTCCAGAACCTTCCCACAGATACGAGCTGGGGATTTGCCTTCCCATCTGGCCTCTCTCAAAGCTCGCTTCCTTCCCTACCGGACTTGGGTGTGGAGCCAGAGGTTGTTGGCTCCCCCCAGCTCTGTCTTGGGGGCTGATCCACGGAAGCAGAGACAGTTCGGTGGGGCAAGACCTCAGGAACACCCAGCGTCTCGAGAGGAGAGACCCTGCCCGGGTTGGAGAGGGTGCTTCTGTCCTCTAGGAAGCCAAGGCCCCGGGAGCTTCCTAGTGTGCACTCTGGGTCTGTGGCCTGCAGTGTGTGGGTTTCAGTTCCTGTCCTGCCCAGGGTTAGGGCTGCTTCTGCCAGCCAGGCCATCTCCCTGCCAGCCCTGGGTCTCCACAGCCTATTCCCTGCCCATCTTTTCATCCTGTTGTGTGGCCTCCCTCCCACCAGGTGTCTGCCATGAGACAGACCCACAGGACCTGGCAGACGGGTTGCCCGGGCAGGGGAAGGGTCTCTGGGCTCAGTTTCCCCAGTGGTGGAACAGAGGCCTTTCCGTGCATCGTGCAGTGGTTGGGTTTGCTGAGGGCTCTAGGGTGATGGCTGGCCCTCTAGGAGGGTGGAGTTCATCTTGAACAGTGGCTGCCCAAGGAGCTTTCTCTGGTGACAAGAGTATGCCATGCTCGGGCACACAGGCCTTCCCATGCAATCCCACTGAGTCACTGGGATTCACGGTAGATCTACACAACCACCTGTGGCTCATGGCTGCTATGCAGGGCCTGGCAGGCCCGGGGCCTATCCCCATTGGTCTGCCAGGGTCCCTTTCACCAGCATACTGGTCTTACTGGACACGTGGTTTGCAGCTGCCCCGAGGGCCGCCTTTGGGAGAGACATGTCCCTCCTGCTGAGGCCACGCACCCTGAGCACTGTCTGTCCCCACGTGGCTGCCCCTGCATCATGGGAGTGGTGGCCATGGTGGGGAGGCAGGAGCCCCACTGGGAAGGCAGTGGGCTAGCTGAACCCCACGGCTTTCACCAGCCAGTGCCTGTTGTTTTCTAGGTTGTGAAGGTTGGAATTGTGGAGCCATCCTCCGCCACATCAGGTAACACCATCCCACCCTGAGGCCTTGTGAATGGCCCGTGGGTAGGCCGCGGGAGCACAGTCACTCTGGTCCTGCAGACCAGACCAACCCTTCAGGGCCTGAGAGCTGCCACGTTCCAGTCTTGCTGTGGTGCTTCTGCTCTGTGGGGGGTTCATCCTCCGGGGACTGCTGTCATGAAGCCCCACATCAAGGCTGGCAGGGCCGTCTTCCAAAAACGGAGGAGAATCCGAGACCCTCCTGTCTCACACAGGCCACTGGGGACTCCCGCCCTGCCCACCCCTAGGGTCTGCCTGGCCTTCTGGCCACATCCTGCTCCAGAGGGCCTGGGCAGAGCAACAGGTGGGCTCAGCCTGCCCTATGACTCCTCCCCAAAGGCGACTCGGACGACGCAGCCCCCTCGGGCTCTGGCGCGCTCTCCTCCACCCCGCCGTCCACATCTCCTGCGGCCAAGGAGGCCTCACCCACTCCGCCCTCCTCCCCGTCGGTGAGCGGAGGCCTGTCCTCCCCCAGGTAAAGGCCCCGCGCAGCTCAGCACGTTTCACTTGCCCGCCCCACCACGTGCTGCCTGATTCAGTCATCCTCTCCCACGTCACATCCACCTCCCAGGGCACCTGGCCTGTCGGCCACGCAGACGGAGGGGCTCTGCAGGACGGCTGGGGCCTCTCTGGCCACCTCCTGCCACAGATCAGGGGTTGGGGGCAGGACCTCTAGGGGACAGAAACTCCCACACAGTGAATAAACATGGGCGTTGTGCTGGGCTGTCTCTCAGCTCTGCACACATTGGGGCTTTTAAAAACAAGCTGAGGGCAGAAGGCGCAAGAGACGAGAGTCTCTAGGCGGTCCTCATGGGGTCGGCTTTGACAGCTGTGCTGAGGCCCCGCCAGCCCGCGTGGGTCTCTCTGAAGCAGACCTTACTCAAGTGTAACTAAGCCACAGAGGGTGTAGGCCCCAAGGCCAGGCATGGTGCTGCTGCTGCGTGCAGGGCTCACACCAGCAGACCCCGACCCCCTGCCTCTGTGTTTCCAACCGCTGGCTCCTTCCAGGCTGCGCCTGAGGGAGCTGGTTCACATAGGCCCTCAAGACTCCAAGGGACAGCTTGGAGAATGGGTGGCCTCCTGCCGCCAGGAGAATGGGTGGACGGGCCCCCCAGGCCGGGGCTCTCCTGTCGCCAGGAGAGTGGGTGGATGGGCCCCCCAGGCCTGGGCTCTCCTGTCGCCAGGCTCCCTGTAATCTACACAGGATGGCTCCCTGTGATTTATGCAGGACCCTTCTGGGGGTGACTGGGCATGTGAACAGCTCCACAGAGCATGCTCCAAGCACCCTCCTCTGCTGGCAAGTTGGCACAGGTGCTGGCTGTCACCTCCTGGCCTGTCACAGGGACAGTGATGTCCCCATCACTAGGCCGAAGGATGCAGGTGTGAGCGCCTCCCTCTGCCTTTCCCAGCCAGGGTGTCGGCGCCGAGCTGATGGGGCTGCAGGTGGACTACTGGACAGCAGCACAGCCCGCGGACAGGAAGAGGGACGCCGAGAAGAAGGACCTGCCTGTCACCAAAAACACGCTCAAGTGCACTTTCCGGTCCCTCCAGGTCAGCAGGCTGCCCAGCAGCGGCGAGGCTGCGGCCACGCCCACCATGTCCATGACCGTAGTCACCAAGGAGAAGAACAAGAAGGGTGAGGTGGGACAGGCTATACGGCCACATGGCACAGAAGGGCGGCTCGGCGGGAGCGGGCAGCTCGCAGTCAACAGGGATGGCAGCCTCCTGGCTGGCCTCGGGCAGCCCACGTGCGCAGGCAGGGGTGGGTGGGGTGAGGGAGCCTAAACCCTGAAGGCAATGAGGGTCAGGCGCTTCTGACCAGGGCCTCAGGCAGAGGCCAGCTGGGCAGGCAGGAGAGCAACTCCTCGGTCACCGTGGAAGGCAGGTTTCCTAGGTGAGTGGGGCCGTGACCAGCTGAGCCCCCAGTGCCTCCCCCACACGTACCCCCAGCCCTGACCCTGAAGGAGCAGCAAGATGACAGCAGGGCCTCTTTTCTCCTTCCAGTGATGTTTCTGCCCAAGAAAGCAAAGGACAAAGATGTGGAGTCCAAGAGCCAGTGCATCGAGGGCATCAGCCGGCTCATCTGCACTGCCAGGCAGCAGCAGAACATGCTGCGGGGTGAGCGCCATGGGCCCCGGGGTCTGTAAAGTGGGACGTAGGTGAGAGCATAGCAGGGCTGCTTTGGAGTCCACCATAGGAGCTGCGGCGTCTTGCTGTGACACGCACATTCCATGAAGCCCTCGGTGAAGACGACAGCTTTCCAAATGCTGAGAAAGAATTTTTCAACCCTTTTTGCTTTTTAAAAATAATGACTTGTTTTTTTTTTTTTGAGACGGAGTTTTGCTCGTTACCCAGGCTGGAGTGCAATGGTGCAATCTTGGCTCACTGCACTCTCCGCCTCCTAGGTTCAAGCAGTTCTCCTGCCTGAGCCCCCCAAGTAGCTGGGAGTACAGGTGCACGCCACTGCACCCGGCTAATTTTTTGTATTTTTAGTAGAGATGAGGTTTCACCGTGTTGGCCAGGCAGGTCTTGAACTCCTGACCTCAGGTGATCCGCCTGCCTCTGCCTCCCGAAGTGCTGGGATTACAAGTGTGAGCCACCACACCCAGCCTAAAAATAGTGACTTGTAATTTAAAAGCATTTTGGAGTTACTCTGCAAGTACCTGTTTCAGAAACAGCTCTGGGAGGCCTTCCTCTTTTTGAGCACGGGTCAGATGACCTCCAGGTCAGCATGGCCCTGTCTCCCCACAGGGGTCTCTGTTTTAAGGGGGCTCCCAGTGTCTTCTCCCCACCTGTGCAGGTGGAGATGGATGTGGACCAGCAGCGCCTGGCAGGAGGCGGTGGGGTCTGTTCCTCCCACCTGCAGGCAGCCCTGGGGGAAGTGCTGCCCTCCTCACCCCCCAGGGCTCTGAGGTGTGGAAGGGCAGGGGCAGGAACGGCGTCCCTCAGGAGCCAGCGTGACCCTGGAGCCCCCGAGTCCCTGAGGAAAGTGTTGGTGCCCTCCAGCATGGGGCTCCTTCTCATCCTGTACCCCTGGCTGCTACCCAGCCTGGTGGGCCAGGCAGGCAGGTGGACAGGGTGGGCAGGCGGGCAGGCGGTCAGGCAGCCCTCTCCCACAGTCCTCATCGACGGGGTGGAGTGCAGCGACGTCAAGTTCTTCCAGCTGGCCGCGCAGTGGTCCTCGCACGTGAAGCACTTCCCCATCTGCATCTTCGGACACTCCAAGGCCACCTTCTAGCCCCACCCACCGAGAGGCCCACCTCCCGCCCCACGCTAGGAGGGGCCCAGCTGCATTTCTGTTAACATTTCAGTTTACTACAGAGACAGACCCTTAAAACACAAAGAGAAACAGTCTTAAGTATGAATGTGCTCACAACCTGGAAACTAACGGGGGAGCTCCTGCCAGGAGCCGAATAACTGCTCTGCTTATTAACCCCAACGTTCGGCCCGGGGCTGGGAGGCCAGAAGGACGGTGCTGAGCTGCGGATCGCAGAAGGCGTGCTCTGGTCTCAGGAGCCACCCAGAGCCTCCATGTCCTGTTCTTCCGGAAAGTCAGGACTCTGCTTCCTCAGGGAGCCTGGGGCAGGCGGAGCTCAGTGGCCTCAGGCCGAGGGGCCATGGGGCCGCTCAGTCCCGTTGGGGGTGTCCTGAGTTAAGCCTGGGGGGCCATCCTGCCCGCCTGAGAGATGCCCCCAGCACCGCACACTCGTGGTTCCCAATAAACTCCTGCCTGCGGCGGAGGTTTTATAGCAGCAGATATTTTTAATGCTTTTAAATACATGTTCTAATGTAGCTG